GTTGAAAGTGGCTTTCTATTTCGAATGTTTTGTTCGATTTTTTCGAATTTGTTCGAATTAAATTCGAACATAAAATTCGAATTGGTTCGATTATAGAACGATTGAAAACGTTCCAGAAACGTTGAAATTTGTTCGTTTGACTAAACGTAAAAATTCTCTAATTAGTCTGGAAACGGGGGACCTAATTCTTGCATTTTGTGAAAACGGGTAAGATTAGCTATAATGTAATTATCTTAATCTTCACTATCGTTACTTTTTGCCCAGCAAAGCGGGTCCTTGCAGCTAGATTCTAGATTACTCAGAAAAACAGTCTTTTATATATATATATATAAAAAAACTATACTATTACATACAAATAAAAACCCAGCAAAGCGGGATCTTGCAGCTAGTAGAATATAAAAAAGAATGTATTAGAATACATAAAATTTAAAGTTTAAAATATATATAGAATAGATAGAGTGTACCACATAGAATAGTGTGCACCATATTTAACTGTGCAAGCATGAGAAAAATCCATAAAACAACCAAAAATTTAATGTTAAAATGAAACTAGAATATTTTAAACTTTAAATTTTATATATACAAATTACACCAATTCCCACATGTTCATGAATAATTGGGACCAAGTAATCTGTCATAAGACTGAATTCCCAAACTTCAAGTTTCATTTTCAAGGTTAAATTTGTAATTTGTTCCAAGACTATGTATTGCTGCTGTTTAAAAATTTTCAGAAAAATAAATGCTTCCTCAACAAGGCATTCATCATCAAACAATCAAAACATGTCAATTCCATCAAGATACTAGAAGAATTAGAAATATTTAAATCTGACAAAAAGGTCTTCTGCATAAATTTTAAAGACAAAACACAATTACCATAAGCATGGCAATCCTTATATGATCACGTGACAAAATATGATGTAACAGCATGACATAGGGACAATACAACAAAAAGTTTTCGGTTATAGTTATATAATCTTTAAATGTTTACTTCTTTACTTTTATATTTATTGGTACATCTATTTACTTTTATTTCTATTTTTATATATTTTGAAAATTTGTGTTTAATTTTTCAAAAAACATCATTAAACATTAGTCGTAAAGTTTTTTGTGAATTAAAAATCTTACTGGAATACAATTTAAGGCTTTTGATTGAAGTGTTTATTATATCATTCCAGTCTACTAAATGGTGTTTTAATTCTTTCGAATGGATTTAGTTTGAAACAATGCTTAGTATAACAAAGTCCAAAAATAATTGACTATACATCAATAGAAACAAGAATTTATTAAAGTATTACAAACTATGTAAAAGGTGATAAAGAAAAAAAATGCAAAACTACATTAGCAATAATACACCACACAAAAGTTATAAAAATCAGAATTATAATTAGTCCAAATCAAAAACAAAACCAAAACTAATTTTCACAAAACTTTTCTGACAATTGAGGAGCTTAAATCTAAATTAAAATTAATTCTCCACAAGTACCAACAAAGTAAATCAGAACTAGAATGGCGCAGCCTGGCCTATGTGGCCCTTGCACCATAAAACACCAACCAACCAAATCAGAACTAGATTATTTACAAACAAAAGAAAACCCTTACAATCTAAACTGTAACTGTCACACCAAGAACACCAGAAAATACTTTTGTCGATCAAACTCATTTCAGAAATCAACTTGCTTGCTCTCAGGAGCTTCAGCTTCATTGAAGGATTTCATCTGATGTTACAATTGAATGTGCTACTATCTCATTTACACTTATACATGTTAATAGCAACATTTCTTTCACTTCACAACTTTTTTAATAATCATTCCAATCTTTTCAAAAATACAAAAAGGTTTATGATTTTTTAAAAATCAACAACAGAGGGATTAAAAGATAATTTTTTAACTCCATTCAAAGATTGCTTAATATGAGATGCTATTCTGAAATTGGCAATGTTAGCTTTGAAAGCATCAATCATGTTAACAATAAACTTTTATCATTATTTTTGAATTTTGTGCAGGAAAGGTCAGGTGGTTTCCTCCTTTAAACAAAATAAACTTCCCAAAATAAATGATAATGATAACTAAATAAAACCCTAAAAATAAATGTAATGGTTGACTCAACTTCTTTTAACTTCTTTTTAAACTCAATTAAGGAATATAGCACATTCATTAAGGTTAAAAACCANTTTTTTGTGAATTAAAAATCTTACTGGAATACAATTTAAGGCTTTTGATTGAAGTGTTTATTATATCATTCCAGTCTACTAAATGGTGTTTTAATTCTTTCGAATGGATTTAGTTTGAAACAATGCTTAGTATAACAAAGTCCAAAAATAATTGACTATACATCAATAGAAACAAGAATTTATTAAAGTATTACAAACTATGTAAAAGATGATAAAGAAAAAAAATGCAAAACTACATTAGCAATAATACACCACACAAAAGTTATAAAAATCAGAATTATAATTAGTCCAAATCAAAAACAAAACCAAAACTAATTTTCACAAAACTTTTCTGACAATTGAGGAGCTTAAATCTAAATTAAAATTAATTCTCAACAAGTACCAACAAAGTAAATCAGAACTAGAATGGCGCAGCCTGGCCTATGTGGCCCTTGCACCATAAAACACCAACCAACCAAATCAGAACTAGATTATTTACAAACAAAAGAAAACCCTTACAATCTAAACTGTA